GATGATGATGATGATGATGATGATGATGATGATGATGATGATGATGGTGATGGTGATGGTGATGGTGATGGGTGATGGTGATGGTGATGGTGATGGTGATGATGATGATGATGATGATGATGATGATGATGATGATGACGATGATGATGATGACGATTTATCATGGTAATGGTCATGGTGAAGAGCATGAAGATGGTGATGACGACGACGAGCATCAGGATTGTGATGCTGGTGATGGTGATGGTGGTTGTGGTGATGATAGCGGTGTGCCCACAATGATGCTGATAATGATGACGGTGGTGTTGATGCTGATGATGTGAAGTCTCAGGGGTGCGGTCGGGAGGACCCAACAGTGAGAGCAGGGAACGTCAGAAGATTGATAAGGAGAGAACCCTCCCCTCCCTCCCTCCCACACGCACACAAACACACACACACACACACACACACACACACACACACACACACGCACACGCACACAAACACACCTTTAAGAATTCAGAGGAAATGAATGATTTCTGCCTCTCGGGTCCCTCTTGGGAAGGCTCGTGGGGATCTTGGGGCGTCTCGAAAGCTTCTCGGGCCGTCTTGGGGTAACTTGGGCGTCTTGGACCGGTCGTTCAATGATTGGGGGTTTTCTTGGGCCGTCTTGAGGGCCTCTTGGGGGCCTGTTGGCCCGTCTTGGGCTTCTCTTGGGTTCGAGAGAGTCATGCGGGAACATTCTGGGGGCCCCAGAGGGAGCGTGGGGAGCCCCAAGAGATTTGAGAGCTTGGGGCCCGGGCCCATTAAGAATCCTCAGGCTTGAGGACTGAGGCTCAAGGGATTGAGCAAGGGACCTGGGGAAGCCTCTTGGGGGTTGTTTTGGGGCCTCCTTGGGGCTTCTTGGGGGCCTGTTAGGGCTTTTTGGGGGCTTCTTGGAGCCTCCTTGGAACCTCGTGAGGGGAAAGGCTGGGATTGTCGGTTCGGGCTCCCTTTGTTGGGCCTCTCTTGGGGCTGGAACCTTGTTGGGGCCTCCTGGAGGCGTCTTGGAGTCTCTGGAGAACGTCGTGAAAGGACAGATTTGATTTTCGGTTCGGGCGCTCCCTCTTGGGCCTCTCCTGGGGCCCTGGTAGAGCCCTCTTGGGGGGCTGGCGTGGACGCTTCTTGGGCCGTCTTGGCGTTCTCTTGCGCCGTTTTGAAGTCGTCTTCGGAGCCTTTTGAGCCGTCTTGACGCGGTCCCGGGAGTTTGCGGGACCGTCGACAGCGAAGCCCCCCCGCCCCCGAGCACTGCATGGCGCCGGGACTGGCGCCCCCCCCACCGCCCTGCAGAGCCCCCCTGACTCCCGGGCACTGAATGGCGTCGGGAATGGCGTCCCCCTCACCCCCCCCCCCCTGCAGAGCGAACCCCCCCTAGCTCCCGAGCGCCGATTGGCGTCGGGAATGGCGCCCCCCCCCCCCCCCCTCCCTCCCCCTGCCGAGCGAGCCCTCCCCCTCCCGGCTCCCGGCTCCCGAGCACTGAATGGCGTCGGGAATGGCGTCCCCCCCCCCCTCCAGAGCGACCCCCCCCCGGGCTCTCGAGCACTGAATGGCGTCCCCCCCCACTTGCAGAGCGAAGCTTGAGCAAGCTGAAGCCCACGCTCTCAGAAACTCACACGCCGGATCGGCGGATTTACCCAAAAAACAGTGTTTGCCTTTAGGGCTTCCAGTTCATTTTCCAAGGAACGGGGCATGCCTGGCAGTCTGGCGGCTATGCTGCCGCATTCGCCGCCCCGCCACCGCCTCGTCAACGCCAGTCGTCTGGGCCTGTCTGGCGGCCTGGCGGCTGAGCTGCCGCCGTCGCCGCCCCATCGCCGTCGCGTCGCCCGTCTGGTCCCGTCTGGCGGTCCTGCGGCCACGTTGCCGCCGTCGCCGCCGCGTCGCCGCCCGTTGTCTGGGCCTGTCGGGCGGTCTGGCGGCTGTGTTGCCTCCCCGTCGCCGCCACATTGTCTGCCGCCACACTGGTTGCTCACAGATCTTGCTCTTCAGACATGCACAACATGCATGGCATCATGCCGAGTGCACAACATAAATTGCACGACCTGTATTGCACCACATATGTTGTACCACATGTGTTGCACCACATCGATTGCTCTGCATGCAATACGCCACATCGATTGCACCGCGCAAGTTGCACCACACATATTGCACAACCTATATATATATATATATATATATACAGAAGATCGTAGATATCACAACCTAGACCGCACCACATTGATTGCACCACATACGTTGCGCCACGCAGCTTGCTCCACATCGATTTCACCACATGGGTTGCTTTGCTTCACCTAGATCGCACCACACATATTACTAGAAACACGCTGCTTTGGGTCCACGCTGGCTAAAATGCAATATGACAAGCATTTCTCCTCCCCTCCCCCTAAAAAACAACAACAAAAAAGTGCCAAACTTACACTGTGCGTGTCTCCCTTAGACAGGGGTATCAAACATGTTGGCCCTTGCCACAGCGTGGGCCAAATTGATGTCAGGCGCGAAATGCCACGGGCCAGAAGTTGTCCGTTGTCGATCAGATCCAGTCGGAAGTTGGCGAGTCGCAAATCCCCATCTGGCTGGCAGCCATCAGTTCCAGAAGGGCTTCAATCCCGTTCACTCTCAGAGAGTGTGGAATGTTCACCTGTACAGTGGAAACCCATGCCAAGAAGCACCCTGCTTGCCTCCAGGGTGCCCTGGGCTTCGTGGGTTTCGATGGACTTGCGATGGAAAGCGTGACGTCCCCACACCAAAAAACAATGGCCGTCCTGGGGTCTCAGGACCGGGTTTCTTGTGCAAGGTTTCGTGTGGTCGAGCTCCCACTGTAGCTAGGGTGTGTGCCCCCTGGACCTCTGGCGCACACCTGTCTGCTACACTGGGTAACCCGACGGGCGCCAGCATGTACGTACAGAGCAGGCGGTTCGAGATCATACGCTGCCCGAGGCAGGGCGATCTTGATAGTTGGTTGTTGGCTCGCTTCCTGTTTTACAAAAAATGGAGATGGCATGCTCTGCGAAGCCACATTGGGAACGGAAGCGATGCAGAGGTAGATTCGATGACAGGCGAGTGGACTCGTTGGCGCGCTGCGGAAACAGCGTGCTGTTGGCCCCGGGGGGACTGGCACAAATCGAAAAGATGACGCACGGCGACTGATTGGGAAAGTGCGTTCGCTCTCTCTCTCTCTCTCTCTCTCTCTCTCCCATTCTCTCTCTCTCTCTCTCTCTCTCGCTCTCCTTCTCGACGACTCTCCGCTTAGTCTCTTCCTCTCTCTCTCGCCCTCTCCCCCCCCTACCTGCAGATATGCATAAACGTGTGTGTCTCTCTCTCTCTCTCTCGCTCTCCCTCTCCGCACGCCCGAAGAGAAGGCCTACACGTACCTGTCTGCGCCCTTCCAGTGCGCGGCCTTCCTGATCGTGGGCCTCGGCGGGTACTACTTCAAGGCGACCGGGCGGGCCTCGCGGGCATCTCCTCGCCCCTCGGGGGCCACGCGAGGGGGGGATCGACTCGGGGCCTCGGGGCTCCAGGTTCGAAGGGTTCGAGGCTCGGCAGTGCCATGCAGTTCTCGACAGCTGTTGATCGTGTTCTGCAGTCTCCGAAGCCCGGCTCAGCTGCGCCTCGTCGAGGGCGCTCCGGGGTGACCCGAATCGTCCCGAACGGCCGCTTCAGAGCCGAGGTCTGACCCGAAGGCCAGATGACGAGGATCACGTGGGAGGCGGAGGAGGAGAAAGAGGAGGAGGACGAAGAGGAGGAGGAGGAGGAGAGGAGGAAGAGGAGGACGAAGAGGAGGGGGGGTGCCTCGACCCCAAATCGCCCACCGATCGCCAATGGGGGCCCAAAAATAGTCCACCCCGCCCAGGAGGGGTCGGATTCGCTCTCGGGGGCCTATCGCCGATCTATCGGCGATGTGCATCGCCGAGTCCGGGGCGACGTCCCTCCGTGAGCCCGTCACCCCCCAGCGTTGGCCCTCACGTGAAGAGAAGGGGTCTTGAGGGAGAAGTGTTTCTTGAGATTGTTCACCGTGCTCGTTCTCTCGGGGCCCTTCCCGCGTCCCAGTGCCACCAGAAAATGATCCAGGATGGAAAGAGTGTTGGAGAAGGCCCCAGGTTGCCAGGGTCCGTTTCTTTCGGGGCCCCCTGTCCCGGTACATTTATGTCCCAGAGGTCGGTGGATTTGTCTCTCGACAGTCCGTGTATCCCCACCAACATCCAGGAACATTTTGCGAAGGAATTGCTTTGAGAAGGGCAGCGGGGGAGTATCACTACAGGCCCAACGCCTCAAGGACACAGCGCCCCCCCCCCGCGCCCCTCCGTCCGCCTTTGAGAGGGCGACTCGGTGGACGGCATCATCATAGACTCCATCGGAGCGGCGGGGTGGTGAACGTGTGAAGGGCGAGGGGGCCAGGCGTTCGCTGGCTGCTTCCTCGGCGCCGGGCGCCTCGCCTCCCTGTGCCCCCTGCCGCCGCTGCCCAGGCACTGCGGCTGCAGTCGCTAGCACGTCTTGACCCGTGGTGGCCTCCTCCGAGGGGTCTTCGCCGGCTCGAGCCCCAGCCTCTGGCCGCCGCCGCCGCCGTCGCCGCCGCCTGCACGTCGCCGAGACGTAGTTACGCGAGGGCAGCGGCACGGGGCAGGAGGCAGGAGTGGCGGGGGGGGGGAGGAGGGGCAGAAGTGAAGGCTTCCATCCCGGGAGCGGGAGGTGCTTGACTCCGCCGAAGCGCCGTATGTACTCCCGCCGACGCCGCCACTGCCCCAAGCAACGAGGAGGAGGAAGAGGAGCAGGAGGAGCAGGAGGAGGGGGAGGAGGAGGAGGAGGAGGAGGAGGAGGAGGAGGAGGAGGAGGAGGAGGAGGAAGAGAAGGAGGAGGGGGGAGGAGGAGAGGGAGAGGGAGAAGGGTGCGAGGAGGGCAGCGCGCAGGCTGGCGGAGGCGCACGGGGCCCGCCCGGGGAGGGAGGATTCGGCCCCACCTTCCGCCTGGCGGCGGTGTGCCTGCTGTCCCACATGCTCATCACGTACTTGATCAAGGCGAGGCCCCCCCTTGCTCCCGAGCGCTTTGGGAGGGGAGGGGGGCGGCATTGTTCGGCCTCGGCGCCGCCCAAACATCGCGTGGCCCTGGGCATCCCCACCTCCACGCCTGCCGATGGCTGCTGACAAGCGCTCTCGCTTCGAAGAAGTGTGCTTCCATGCTGGCGTCCCGACTTTCGGTTCCCACCTGCACGAATTTCAAATGTGAGACTGTGATTTCAACCAAGATCAAACAAGGCAAGCACATTGGACTTTGTAAGCATGCAAGCATGTAAGCCAGCAAACAGAAAGGCGCGCAGATGTTCGTCATAACAGGAGCGTCCAGCGGTGTTATCTTTTGGCGGATCGATCCTTGAATAACCGATCGGCCTTGCGGTGGGGCATGTATTGCATGTGTCGGTTTTGAAATCCAGCTACGGCCGGAATACGTGCGATTGGGAGGGAGCAGCCATCGGCCTTTGCTTTCTTGCCCAGCCGAGGGCATCGTGTTCTGCCAGGGCGTGCACAGATCCCTCGAAGGGGCCAGGGCGGACGAGAAGGCCTGGTGGCGCGTTGGTTTCAGCGCAGCGGGAAAGGCAGCAGACGCATTCTAGATGTTGAAGAGTTGGGCTTTTTTGTTCGTCCCCTGATTGTTGTATTCGGACAGCCTGAAGCCCCAAAAGGCGAATGTTCATTCTGACCATCGGGTTGTGTGGAAATCGCTGCCAAAGAGCACGCTTCATGCCAATGCGGATGAAATGTTCTGTAATCGAAGAGGGTCAGTTTCCTGCGTGTCATGGCTTTCAGATTGTGTTGCCGCCACCGCCGCTGCGGACGCCGCCGCTGCTGAGGGCCGCGGACTATGGCAGCAAGACGACAAGAGGGGAGCGACTAATAGGTGGAAAGTTGATGAGGTTAAGTTGTTCAAAAGTGTTCCAGACGGCTCTCAGAGCGCACTGTGAAACGGTTGCGGCGCCCAAGAAGCCTTGCAGACCCGCAAGCTTCAGCGATTCACGATTTGTCACCATCCACATGAATCATCGTCCTGTCCTGGTCGGAAGGGGGCTAGGAGTGAGGAATGGGGGGAGGGCATCCGGAGGAGCAAGAGGGCGAGGAGGAGAATAGGAGGGCAGGGGCGGGTGGTGCGGCGGGAAGGAGCAGAGCCGGAAGGGCGGGGGGGGTGATGCGAGAGGGAGGGGGGGGAGGTACTGAAAAAACGAAGAAACAACTGTTTTTAAAAATACTGTTAACCTTTTTCAGAACAAAAAATCAACAAAACTACAAAAACGAAGACAAGATTTCGAAGTCAGGAGCGGCTCGGGTTCGGTGGGGGGCCCACTGCTCCTCGGGGGCACTGCCAGGGCGGTTTCGTTAGGCGCTCCTCGTGCACCCGGGCGCGCTCTCTTGGGGCCGCCAAGGGCTCCGCGCTTCATGCGGCGAGCTCTGTGTGGTAGCAGCTTGGCCGGGAAGGGAGGAGCTACTTCCCCTCCTCCTCATCCTCCTCCTCCTCACTCCTAGCTCCTCGCTCCTCGCTCCTCCCCGCTCCTCCCCCTCCTCCTCCTCCTCGTCCTCCTCCTCCTCCTCCTTTCGAAGCCTTTCGATACGGGCTCCACGGCGCTGGCCGCGCCGAAGCTCTCACCGCCTCCTCGTCCTCCTCCTCCTCCTCCTTCTCCTCCTCCTCCTCCTCCCCCTCCTCCTCCTCCTTCTCCTCCATTCCTTCTCCTTATAGATAATTTCTCCCTGTCGCACCCCGAGGCCAGATTTTAGGGCGGGCCGGGCGTATCGCCTGAGACCTCCTCACAATTTATGACTCTGGAGCTTAAAAAGTGACAACGGTTTCACAGATGGACAGCGGGTCGTTTTCAAAATGTGGCTCTCGCCTTAGCGCCGCGCACATTCGTTGTACACATTTGCACAAGCTTCACGGATTGAGGGCGGGTGGGTTTCAAAATGTGGTTCTCGCTTGAGCGCCGCGCATATCCGTTTTCGAAGTTTGCAAGAGTTTCACGGATTGAGGGCGGGTGGCTTTCAAAATGTGGCTCTCGCTTTAGCGCCGCGCATATTCGTTTTAAAAGATTGCAAGAGCTTCACGGATTGAGGGCGGGTGGTTTTCAAAATGTGGTTCTCGCCTTAGCGCCGCAAACACTTGCAAGAGTTTCACGGATTGAGGGTGGCTCCTTTGAAAAATGTGGTTCTCGTTTTAGCGCCGCATTTGTTCGTATTATCAATTCGCAAAAGTTTCACGGATTGAAGGCGGGTGGTTTTCAACATGTAGTTATCGCTTTAGCGCCGCACAGATTCGTTTCAAACAGTTGCAAGAGCTTCACGGATTGAGGGCGGCTCTTTTGAAAGATGTGGTTCTCGCCTCAGCGCCGCACACATCCTTTTTAAGATTTGCAAGAGTTTCACGGATTCCCATGATCAGCGTACCAGAAATGGCGTTTTGGAAGGATTCAGGATTATGCGGGTGCAACAGTTGTGTTGATCCGCGGTGTTGAAGTCCAACAAAATGGCGCTCTGGCACGACTCCAGATCGTCAAGACGCAGCAGTCAGGTTGATACGTGGCGTTGAAGAAATCCCAAGAACAATGTTTGGGTATGCTTCAGGATCTTCAAATGGTTGTCTTCCAACGACGCAGTTCCCTCAATGGAAATGAACCGTTGTGGGGGCCTATGAAGAGGGAGCTTGGAGGGAGGGTTACTTCCAACATCGTTGAGGAGTCTTGGGTTTACACTGGTCCTCCTCCTTCTCCTCCTCCTCCTCGTTCAGCGATCTTTGTGGTAGCAGCTTGACCGGGGAAGGGAGGACTCGGCTGCCCGAGGTTGCCCTCGTTGTTGCCTGGCTGCCCAGCTCCGGCATCGCGCCGAGAGACAAATGCGCGAGCGAAGCGTCTCCGCAGACCAGAGCGGTGGTCTCTTCGTCCCCGCCTTCTGGGTGTTCTCCACACCAGCCAGAGCCCCAAATTATCAGGAGTAATTCGGGTCAGCGCTAACTCGGGCTCGTTGTTCGGAAATCCGAACCCGAGTTACCCCGGGCCCGAGTTACCCCAGATAGTTCGGGCGTCCAGAGCCCCAAATCATCAGGGGCAGCTCGGGTCAAGGCTAGCTCGGGTTTGTTTTCGGAGATCTGAACCCGAGTTAACCCGGACCCGAGATACCCCTGACAACTCGGCGGCCTTGTAAGAAGGTGGCGGAGCCTCTAAGATGGAGTCGGGCCAGCCTCTCCAAAGGAAGAAAATTCAAACATTGATTCTTACAAAAAAATGGGGACGATGTTTTGACTATGTTTGGCTATGTTTGAACTTTTTGGGGCTATGTCTCATTTTTCGTGCAAGATCCCCCTGTAGGAGGACACGCCCGACCAAACTCTAAGGCGGCATCGGAGGGCTTCTTGGATGCCTGCCTGGCATGTAAGAAGCCGTATTGGAAGCCTCCCGGGGCCTTCTAAGAAGGCCCCTGCCTCCTAAGACGCCCTTCCGCCTGCGTTGCAAGCTGCCCCCCCTCGCGCCATCACCTTTCCCTGGCGCCGCCAACCTCTGGCCCTTTCTCGCTAGGGGGCGGGGGCCCCAGCTGGGCCCAGTCGGGGGAGCCTTCGGGCGAGGGGTCTGGGGTCCGGCTTAAGTCTGCCCGCGCCACACGCGAGGGCCTGCGGAAGTGGCCTAGGCGTGGCGTTCGGCTTGCGATTTGTCTCGCCTTCGGCGGAAGCCGGCAGGGGTAATCACAATGGCGGCAGCAGGTCCACCGGCGCAGTGTGGGCGCACGGCGGCGGAAGCAGTGGCGAGGCGTCCACAGGTTTGAACGCAGGGCGCCGGAGCTGGCCGTCGAAGAAGGACAAACAGACAAGGTGTGCGACGGCACTTGGCGCGCGCCTAGGCGGAACGGGGTCAACGAACGCCAAGGAATGGTCCACTGGGCTCTCGCCGCACTCTCTGGCCACAGAATGTATTGGCATGGGGCCTCGTGGACGCAGCAGGCTTCGATTCTTAGTGTTCGCTTCTCGAAGGCGTCTGGGGGCAGTTGAAGGAGCACAGCAGAAGCGAAGGACGAGGCGGAAAGAGCGAGGTAGCCGCCAGAACATGTTGGGTATCATCATTGCGGCTTTCTCGTATGCGGAATGTTCCTTCAGCTCCGTTTGTCTTCCCCTCGAGTGCGCAATTCTTCATTTTGTCTCTCGCCCCTCTCCGTCCACCCATCGCTCCAACCTCCTACCCTGCAGGTTCGCCTCTGGCTCCTCAACGATTGCCCTCCTCACCCAGTGCAGTCGTGAGAGATTGGCACATATACAACGCCTTGAATTTCTTCCCCTACCCTCGACGCCCAGTCTTGCCCCACCTCCACTTGTTGCCAAGGGCAATCGCGCATGGGCGATATGGGCTTCAATAGTTGGCTGTACTATTACCCTGACATGGTTCACGGCCAACCTAGTGCCATTCTTCAACGACCTCGTCGACCTTTTAGGGGCCTCGCTGACCCCTTTCTGTTGCTGGATAGTACCAATTGGCTTGTACGTGTCCACGGTCGCCAGTGGCGGGCTCAAGGACCGCATTTGTAGGCTCATCGATCGTCTCACCCGCCACGCGCGTGATATTTGCCCGAGCATTGTGATGGCACTACATGGTGTTTCTTGGCAGCCAGTGCCATGGTGTGTCAAACGCGTTGACACACAATCAGGCCAATCGCCAACATCCCACGCATCTGATCATTCAGCGAGGGCGCACATGCCTAGTTCGTAAGTCCGCATCAGCCTGCCCTTTATCGAGAGTGTGATTAACGTTAAAGGAAGCGAGTAGTGTTTGATTGCCCTGAGCCTGGCATGTGCTCCTCCAGATCATTCATCCTCGCCCGTGCAGCCTGAGTCGCACGACGCATCTTTTCAAGGACTCGGAGATCATGCGTCCCATATCGGGGGGCGAAGGTGGTGTAGTGGTTCTTCGAGCTATGTTGGACAACATGGTTGATCTTACATCAGCTTGCACTGCGCACAGTCAGCTTCAGTGTTCGTCGTGCCCCGGGGTCTTGCACGTCGCCCTCGCTCTGCATCGCCACAGCATGATTTGTGTGGAAACTGCTTGATTAGTTTGCGCAACCTCTCCAGCACTTCATTCGCAAGGGGAGAACATCCACCCGGACACGATACCTGGCGGTTGCTAAACGGCCTTGGGCGTTTGTTGAAGAGCCTTGCCCTGTTCGATTCCTTGTATGGGTGCGTTTACTAAAAGGCTTCAGGTGTCGGGGTGATTATGTTGGGGGGATCTTCTGCCCTCTACATTTGGCTCATTCTCTCCTCAGTGCCAAGCCTTCTCGATTTTTGCCAATCCAACTTCCACGGCCTCCCCTTTGGCCGCCTCGGCGTCGGCTCGGCGCCCGCCCCCCCCCAGTGCAAAGCGGCGAAATCAAGGGGCGCCTCTGAACGCATCCGGCCCTGGTTCACGTCGGTCGACCTGCATCGCCGCTGCAGCAGCTGCTGCCAAACACGGCGGGGAGGACAGATCTATCGGACTGGCGGAGTGGACGGTCATCGGGCTGGAGCTGCTGCTGTCCGTCGTGCTCATGGTCGCTGGCGCGAGCGCCCCGCTTTCCTGCGGGGAGGGAGAAGCCCGCGCGAGCCTGGAGGGTGCCGTGTGTTGCCAGAGGTGTCCCTGGAAACCTGTGCCAATGTTCGCGAAAGCCGAACGTTGAGCGTTTGGCCCTCACTATTATTATCATTACTATTATCATTATGATTATTATTATTATGTTTTATTGTTACTATTGTTGTTGGCCTGGTGCATCGTTCTCAACACACCTCGTCGTCATCCAGAGTCTCCAGAGCCTCCTCCTCCACCTTCTCCTCCCCCTCCTCCTCCTCCCTCCCTGCTCCTCCTCCTCCCTCCCTCCTCTTCGCCCTCCTCCTTCTCCTCCTCCTCCCCGTCCTCCTCCTCCTCCCACTCCTCCTCCTCCTCCTCCTCCTCCTCCTCCTCCTCCTCCCCTCCTCCCTCCCTCCCTCCTCGCGAGGCCCACAGGGCCCCGGGGCCTCCAGCTTTGGAGCGGGACGGCGGGGGGGGCACTTGGGGCCTGGGGCACCTCTGGCAACCCCCGAGGGACGACAGGCCTCGCGGAGGTCCCAAAACGGTGTGGTGACCACACCGTGCGGTGAGTCGGTGGGGATTCGGGGTCACCGCACGGTTTGGGGACTCGAGTCCCTCTCTCTGGGCCTCCCAGATGGGGTCGGAGTAGATGGGGTCGGAGGATCGCCGGTGCATCGCCGATGCATCGCCGGTGCGGCTCGATGTGGAGCCCGACTTGCTTCACGCTGACATCTCCGATGCATCGCCGGCGTCGACGAGGCGTCGCCGGTGCATCGCCGAGGCATCGCCGGTGCATCGCCGATGCATCGTCGATGCGGCGCGATCCTCCGACCCCATCTGGGAGGCCTCTGCTCTCCGAGGGCGTCTCGGGCGTCAGGAGCCTCCAGGGTCCCAAGGCCGCGCGCTGGCGGACCGTGCGGTGAGGCCTCCTCGGGTGCCGAGGCCACCGCACGGTCTGTCGCCACACGGCTTTTGGGCCCCCCAAGCTGCCCTGGGGGAACAGTCAATGACACAAGCAGAAGAACCTGGAGGTCCGCGCGGAGTTCTCGGATGTGCGCTGGGGCCCCCTGGCGGCGCCTCCGGCGCCACCCTTAGCGCGCTCCGCGCGCCGGGGATCAAGAGGGGGAAAAACACCTGGACCGGACACTTGGCGTTTTCTAAACGGCCTTGGGCGTTTACTAAACAGCCCTGCCCTGCTCGATTCTTTGGGCGCGTTTGCTAAGCGGCTTCGCTTGTCGGGGTGATTATTATGGGGTGGGATTTTCTGCCCTCTAAGGGAGGGGGGGGGTCCAGCGCCGATCCGAGCAAGCCGATCCAAACAAGCCGTCATATGTCATTGGTTGTTTCCCCACGAAGGGGCGCCCGCTCGATCGAGGGACGACGGGGGGACTGGGCGCGGCCCTTGACGGCGCGCTCGCGCGCGCAGAGCTGTGCGCGAGAGGGGGGCGCTGCGCGGCAGTGTTGGACCAGCCGCCAGTGCGGGCGGGAGCCTCGAGACGGGGGCCAGAATGAGATCGCGTTCTTATGAGCTGGTTTGCCGATCGGCGCGGGCCCTCGCACCCCACCTCGCCAACCCCCCCCCTTTTGGAGTAGATCTTGGCTGTTTTGGGCGCCTGTTTCGGGCAGGTGGAGTCTCCCCCAATAGGACGCACGGTTGCAAACAGCCGCACTAAGCAGGGGTCTGGAGCCAGACTTCCCCCCCTCCCCCCCCCTTCCGCCCAATGTCGCAACACCGAATCAAAAAGAACGCCCACTTAATGCAAGCGGGGATCCGCCAGAGCGCCGCCTCTTGCAGGACCCTGCAGCGCCAGGCCTGCACTGGCGCCTGGCAGCTGGCGCGCAGGATCCCGCGGGATGCTGCAAAGCCTGGCTGACCAGGGTTTGCAGTGACACTGGTCAGCAGATCACCGCCGCTCTGGCGTGGCGCGTCTTGCTCCTGGCTAATTACGGGGGCTTCGGCACGTCAGTGCAAACGAGGAGGACAGAGGGCGCAGACACGTCAAGGCGGGTGGGTCCCACCTCCACACGAGTTCGGCGGCGTTGGCTTCATGTCTTGCCCCGATCTGCGGACCTGGCGCCTACACGTTAGCTCCGCGGATCCCGTACATAACCCATGCTGGCGTCTGCCCGAAAGCGACGCCTAAAACAGATCGCGCCCCTACTGTACGTGAAGTGTCTGGCAGAGCAGCCGGAGGAGCCCCTACTGTACGTGAAGTGTCAGGTGGTCGTTTTTGTTATTCGCTGTTTTGCCGATCGGCCCGGGCCCTCGCACCCCCCCTCCCCTCCCCTCCCCTTCCTGGAGTAGATCTTGGCTGTTTTTGACGCCCGTTTCAAGCAGGTGGAGCCTCCCCCATAATACGTAATGGACGCTCTGCTGCAAACAGCCGCGCTAGGCAGAGGTCTGGAGCCAGACCCCCCCTCCCCCCCCCCACACACCCCTTCCGCCCAACGTCGCTGCGCCGAATCGGAAAACGCTCACCTGGCAGAGCAGCCGGAGAAGCAGGAAGCTTGCGTGTGCGACTGCTGCAGACCGCCCGCGTGCAGGAGTTCGAGGCCCAGCGCTTTCTGCTTCCCGACGGGGGCTCGCACGTGCTCCGTCTGGCGCCCCTCTTGGCACGCTATAGCGTGCACGGCCCGCATCTCGCCCTCCCGTTTCCTCATCGAGCCTTCGCTGGTTGGTCCAGGGTGCGCCCAGGCAGTTCAGCGGAGTACTTAGGAGGATCGCGGGAGGGGCGGGGCAGGAGGAGGAGGAGGAGGAGGAGGAGGAGGAGGAGGAGGGGAGGGGAGGTGGAAGGACGGGGCAGGAGGATGGGAAGGGGGGAGCGAGTGCGGAGGGAGGGAGCGGAGTTGCTCGAAGCGCCGCCCGTCCTCGCAGGCACTGGCATCACGATCGCCCACATCTTCTCCCAGGCGCCGGCCGCTCTTCGGCCGGCGGTCCTCGTTCCCAGTGCTGCCGGGCGTCATGTCTCCCTCGCTGCCGCTGTACCTCGGCTCTCTCTCTCTCTCTGCCATCCCTCCTCCCGGCTCCTTCCTGCCTCTTCCGAAGATTGGGCGACGGTGTTTGCGTCCCTTCGCTCTCACCCCTCCTGCCTCCCTCCCTCCTCCCTCCCCAAGCCTGGGCGGCGGGGATCGCCACCCGCTGCGCTCGCCTTGCCAAAGAGTCGCATGGTTCCTCTGCCTGAGGACGCGCGCGGACGGCCAGCGTCGGCGGTGGCGACGGGATTCCAGAGCGTGGGCGGGGGGCTTGGAGCGCATGCCGCGCGAGGGAGGTGCAAACGATGCCGCTGCTCCCTGGCATGCCCATCACCAATGTCGAGTGCTGCTGCAGTGGAGGCCCATGCCAAGAAGCACCCTGCTTGCCGCCGGGGTGCCCTGGGTTTCTGGGGCTTCGATGCTCTTGCTGTGGCAAGCACGACGCTTCCACACCAGAGGCCAAGGGACGTCTTGGGGGCTCAGGGATGGGTTTCTCGTGGCAGGTTTCTTGTTTCTTGTGGTCGAGCCCCTACTGTGCGTGAAGTGTCTGGCAGAGCAGCCGGAGGAGCCCCTACTGTACGTGATCTGGTGGTCGTTTTTTTATTCGCTGTTTTGCCGATCGGCCCGGGCCCTCGCACCCCCCCCTTCCCCTCCCCTCCCCCTCCTGGAGTAGATCTTGGCTGTTTTGGGCGCCCGTTTCAAGCAGGTGGAGCCTCCCCCATAATACGTAATGGACGCTCTGCTGCAAACAGCAGCGCTAGGCAGAGGTCTGGAGCCAGACCCCCCCTCCCCCCCCCACACACCCCTTCCGCCCAACGTCGCTGCGCCGAATCGGAAAACGCTCACCTGGCAGAGCAGCCGGAGAAGCAGGAAGCTTGCGTGTGCGACTGCTGCAGACCGCCCGCGTGCAAGAGTTCGAGGCCCAGCGCTTTCCGCTTCCCGACGGGGTCTCGCACGTGCTCCGTCTGGCGCCCCCCCCCTGGAGCAGATCTTGGCTGCTTCGGGCGCCCGCTTCGAGCAGGCGGAGCCTCCACTGCAGAAGCGGTCCTGGCCCAAGGGGCCCCCGGGGGAGGAGGGAGAGGAGGAGGAGGAGGAGGAGGAGGAGGAGGAGGAGGAGGAGGAGGAGGAGGAGGAGGGGGAGGAGGAGAACGAGGAGGGGGAAGAGGGAGAGGAGGAGGCGGAGGAGGAGGAGGCAGCTCCTCGCCGCGCTCTCTCTCTCTCTGGGGCTGCCCTGGGCCCCTCCCTCCCGGGGCGCCTCGGGAGGGGCGCTGCGGCGGCCACCTGTGGCCCCCGGGGGACTCCTGGGAGCACCCTGGGCCGGGAAGTTTACGTCAGGCTGGGCCCTCTACAGGAGGACTGTTCCACAATAGCCGAAAAATCAGATGGGGATGATGGTTCTGTTATTTTTGGACATTTTAAATTTGATGTTTTGAAATTATTCCTCCCTTTCTCATGTTTTTCTTTATTTATTCCTCCAGAGTCCGCCTGTAGGAGGACATGCCCGACCTATAAGCCTGGAAACGACAGGTTGTCACTGGTGCCGTTTTGCCGGTTTCGCTGCCGGTTCCGACGCCTTTTTGAATCGGTGCCGTCGCCGTTTGTTTGCCAGTTCTGGCTCCGGCTCCGATCCTTGAGCCGTTCTTTTGCTGTTTCTGGCCGCCGTTGTTCTGTGCCGTGTCCATGTGTTCAGGAGATTTGTTTGTTCGGAAACGGTAACAAAAACGACCCTGCCGGTTCCGGGGCCCACTAAGCCAGGGGCTCCGTGGGCAGCACCCGACCGGGGTGTCCAAGAGGAGTCCGGCTTGGCGGGCCGCCCGGCTTGATGCCGGCGGCCCCCTTGCCAGGCTGCGGGGGCGGGCTGCGCGGGGCGGGCGATGGCCTTCGGCCCCGGAGCTGCGCTGCTCTGCGTGTCCCACCGTCTCCTCCGCGAGGGCCGCCTCACACGGGCCCCCGGGAGAGCAGTCGGGCGGAGGACGAGGAGAAATCCGTTAACAGAGCGTTCCGCAGCGCGCTCTCAGAG